GCACTGCCTCCCATGGCATTCGTAGGAAGTGGAGACCCTGAGAGCACACCCAAGACCAATGTAGGGAGGCCTAAAGGGACAGATTTAGCACTTTCTCATAGCCAAGCTGGGTGGCCAGGCAGTGGTTGGCTCAGGAAGTAGTGAGTTCTCTGTCACTGGTAGGATTCAAACATCAGATAAAAGATCAGCCTTCATCATCACTCCTGAGTTCCTCTGGGCTCTGAGATTTGGAGCTCACTAAAATTCTCTTAAGTGGTCAGGAGTGAAAAAGGGGACCTTCTTGTTAGTCATTGCTGGAAAAATTTCTCTTGGACAGAAACTACAATCTCTAATTTCAGTCCCCTCCACGGGGCTTCCCCTGCTATTCCACACCACCTGCATGTGTGTCTGGGGGTGTGCTGGAGGGGTGCCTGGCAGGCTGCCACGGAGTAAGGGGTGATGAGTCAGGTAAACTTCGCAAATCTCTTGATTTGATTCCACTGTGGCCCAAGCACGAGCACAGATCTGGAGAGCCAAATGAATAGAGAGCATGTCTCATCCGTGCCTCTAGTGCTTTCTGATAAATAAAAGCACCCTGAGATCACTTATCCTCTCAGTGACCCTAGGTAGCACCTTGGGTGCTGTTGGCAGAGCCAGGCCGTGGTACCTGTCCCAGCTCATTTGGTTCCACAGGCATTTATGTCACATCTGTTCAGAGCTGGGCACTGGGCCAGGAACTGTTGTCACAAAGAGGAGGGAGACACAGCTCCATCCTCATGAAGTTCACACTCCAGTGCGGGGATGAGGACCCTAAACAATTAGGTGTATGATGCGAAGTGCTAAGTGTAGTGATGGAGGTATGACCACTTAGTTGTTATAGGAACGTGCAAGAGGGGAAATCGGGGAAGGCTTCCTGGAAAGGGGAGGTCATTCAGAATCCGTGTAGTTCTTCCCCCTCAGTCAATATCTATAGTACCACTGTAGATTATGGAGTACTTTTGCAAGCATCATTTACAGCAGCCCCTTACAGCCAATTTATTATTATTATTATTATTTTTTAAGAGAGAGAACACACAAACAAGTGGTGAGGGGAGGGAGCAGCAGAGGGAGAGAGAATCCCAAGCAGCCTCCATTCCCAGCTTGGAGCCAACGCAGGGCTCGATCCCACAACCCTGAGACCGTGACCTGGGCCAAAAATCAAGAGTCACTCCAGAGTCAAACGCTTGATCGACTGAGCCACCTGGGTGACCCCGGCAACCAATTTTTTAATTTTATTGATTTCACTTTAAAAAATTATTTATTTGAGAAAGAGAGAAAGAGTGGGGGAGTAGGAGGAGGCAGAGGGAGAGGGAGACAAGCAGACTCACGCAGGGCTTGCTCCCAGGACCCTGAGACCGCGACCTGAGTGGAAATCAAGAGCTGGATGCCTAACCCACTGAGCTGGCCAGGCGCCCCAGCAAACATTTTTTAGAAGTTTAATTCATCTTTATTAGGTTCAGTGGGGATGGAACGCTAAAACCTTGTTTTTTGTTTCTTACTTTTTTTAAATTAAACTTTGGTTTTGAGATCATTGCAGATTTACATGCAGTTGTAAGAAATAATACAAAAGGATTCTATATATCCTTTTCCGGTTTCTCCCAGCGATGATATGTTGCAAAGCTGTAGTACAATATCACATCGAGGTATTGGCAATGATAGACTCTAGACCGAGAACAGTCCCCCCACCACAGGATCTCTCCTATTGCCCTCTGCAGCATTTTTCAAGTGTTTCTTTACACGTCTTGCCCTGAGAACACAAAATATGAGAATGAGGTCATCAGAAAAGCAGAAGCAAGCTTTTTATGCCCCAGTCAGAGAGAACATGTCCAGAATGAAGAGTGGAGGACATAAGGGGCCCTGCATTGGCTCTGGGAGGGAACAGCACTGCCTCCCGTGGCATTCGTAGAAAGTGGAGCCCCTGAGAGCACACCCAAGACCAATGTAGGGAGGCCTAAAGACGTGTAAAGGACTTCCCTGTGGGACTTGACATTCTTATCACCTACTTTGTGCCTTCTCACGCTTGGGAGGAAGGTCATATATCCCCATGTTACACATGAGAGAAGCAGCCGGGACCATGAGGTGCCTCGCCTGGTTCCACACAGGGTGAACTTAGCCTGTCCAGTTTGAACCCTGTCTTCCTGGCCTCAGGGCTGGTGGGCTTCCTTAGCCATACTCTTCTCCTGACGGCGGCCAGGCATCTGGATTCAGGGTAGAATCCCACAGAGTGTGACCTAAGCCTGACCTCAGCCACATCAGCAAGAAACTGGCAAGGACCATACCTATGGAGAGCACAGAACCCCTCCCCCCCAGGTGAGGCCTTATAGCCAGAAGGCCCCTGCCGGTTCTGGTCCATATCCCTCATTTGACCCCATCCCAGGGTGAAAGGGAGTCCAAGGCGGTGTCTGGTCTCCAGGCTCCCTGCAAATTGGTTTGATCCATGGTAGTCAAGACAGAACTATTCCCCCCTCCCTTTTTTTTTTTTAAGATTTTATTTATTTATTTATTTATTTATTTACTTGTTTGTTTGTTTGTGGGGGGAAGGGTCAACAGGAGAGGGAGAGAGAGAACCTTAAGCAGGCTCCACACCCAGTGCAGAGCCCGATGTGGGACTTGATCTCACAGCCCTCAGATCATGATCGGAGCCAAAATCAAGAGTCAGACACATGACCAACTGAACCACCCCAGGGCCCCTAAAGATTTTATTTTTAAGTTATCTCTGCACTCAACATGGGACTCGAACCCACAACCCAGAGGTCAAGAGTTGCACACACAAATGCTGAGCTGGCCAGGTGCCCCACGACAGAACTTTCCTTAACGTGTGCTCTGCAGGTCCGGTTCTCGGGTTACCCAGCTTATAAAAGTGTGGAACCTTCCTGCTCTTTGCCTGCAGCTCCAGGGCTCTCTCCCTAGCTGGAGGAGTGGTGCTCAGCCTGGGGCCATGGCATTTTACAGAGGAGGACATCCTGCCTTAAATGTGTGAGCTTCCCCGCCGGGCTGATAGTGAAGTCTTGCCGAATCCTAACTCCGCTTTGGGGGTAACGGGCCAGGACTGAGCTTGCACTGGGCACACAGGGGCTCCCCTCTGTGAGCTCCGTCTTTGCAAGGACTTTGCCAACTAGAAAGGGCTGGGCAGACAGGAGGCCTTACGCTTCTTGTGTTTGGAATCTTGGCACATCCCTGGAGATGGAGAGGTACCAGACTTCAGGACCGCAAATTCCTGGCTGCCCGCTTCCTCTGGGGTGCTCACATTATTCTGCGGGTGTTTTTTGGATAGTTGATGGGTGCGGCAAGTGGGGTCGTGGCTCAAATATGGGCTGTTTGGGAGTTTTGACTTTAATTATGGAAGATTTCAAAAGTAGACAAACTAGTCTAATTAGCCTGTAAGCACCCTGCCCCTGGATTCAATGGTTCTTGACTCCTGGCTCGTCCTGTTTCATAGGTGCCCCTGTTGCCCCTACACTCTGCTTTAGTTTCCCACAGCTTTATTGAATTTTAATTTTTATATCATAAAATTCACTCATCTGAAGTATACAGGTCAGTGATTTTTAGTCGTTTATGGAACTGTACCACCAACAGTTCCTTCTTTCCAAGAAGACCCCTCATGTGCGTTTATAGATGAAGCCCTTTCCCGCTCCCGCTCCAGCCTCTCCTGGTCTGCCTTCTGTGTGACAGATTTGCCAGTTTGGGACACCCCACTGATATCTGATGTCTTTCTTTCTTTCTTTCTTTCTTTCTTCCTTC